AATCTTTTCCGAGCCATCCTGGAGGCCGTCCTCCATTGTGGCCGCTCGGTCGAAGATTCCGGGGTACCTGACAATTATCGCCTCATCGGCCGCTTCACGTTGTCGGCGTGAATAGCGGTTACTCACCATCGCGGTTAGTAGCTTCCAGTGGGGCTTCATCATCTTGAGTAGCCCCATGATACTTTCCCGCATTACCTCCGTCTCCTCCTGGATGCAGTAAGCCACTGCAGGTTCGGTCAAGCGAACGTCTCTCAACTGATGCACTTGACCAGACGTGCGGTTCCAGTGCTTCTCCAGGCAGGAGTAGACGGTTGCTAGCGGGGCATCCAAGCGAGAGTGGGAAGGGTAGCCCTTGACCGTGCGTCCCGCCTGTATCCCTTCGCCATCCAGCAAGTCCGGCTCCTCCAGCGAACCGATCCTGAGGAGCTGACCAGTGGGCGCCGGAGCCATTTCCTTAGCCCTCTTCAGAGCCACAAACTTCGCGGCCGCCTCGATGAAGCCGCGAAACCGCACCGGATAAACGGCGTCCTGCCTATCCGCTTCCATTTCCGCCCTCTGCTCCTCCAGTTTCGACTCGAAGCCGACCCTCTGCTTCTCCAGTTTCGACTCGAAGCCGACCCTTTGTTCCTCCAACTGCTGGCGCATTTCCTTAAGCTGATCTGCCACTTCGCTATTCATTTTCGTCGCCTACTAAATACTTAGTTTCGTAGCAGGTTGCCCGTACCTTCGTTTCTGTTTCCGAAAATTTGGGCGCGCACGTGTGCGGTATCGGCATTGTCGGTGCCCTTCCCCGGCACCGGCACCCTGGTGTCGGTCTGGTTCCATCGGTCCGGCTACTTATTTGCATGCGTGCACGTTGACGACGAGGGAGACTGGGAACAACTATCAGGCTTGCTCCCAGCTACAATTACCCACAGCCACCCACAGGTATTACTTATTTATTTATTCATCAATATATTTCAGGGCGAGCGAGGCTAACACGCGAATTCAAAAGAGTTTTCGTTGCTCTCCTCCTGTTTTTATAAATCGTCGGCGCGCGTAAAAAGTGCGCGACAAACACGCGCACAA